AGCTTATTTCCTGTGATATATGGAAATGTAACTCCTATATAATTTTTTTCTCTTTGTCTCCTTTGTGTGGTATTATTGCTATAGATGTTGCACTATTAATGTAACAAACCCACAATAGGTTGCTGAAATTTTGACTTTACCCTGTGAAGTTAATTTCTTAGTCCAGAGCAAGTTTGCGGCTCACCCACCTCCTCTGTGTCATTGTCAAATATGCTACATATGTATTATGTTCCTATATTGGGACCAATGTTGCATTATGTGTACTGGTTTATACAATTGCTATTTTTTTTTTCTATAAAAGACACATTTATTCAGCATCATGATTAGCAACTAACAGCATGGGTGTCAAAAAAAAAAAAAACAACTACATTAACACCCTTTGTTGGAATGCTTTACACTTTCCACAGAACAGAAACTAAAATAACTTGTTCTACAATTAGTTGCAAATACAGTGCTCCAGCTTTTTGTCCATACACATGTTTAAAACATGTCTTCTTTGTCACAGTGCCGCCCTGCCACCACGGTGACTGGCTGAGTTCAAAATCTGCTATAATCTGTAGCTTCCCTGCCACTTCCCTGCTTTCCTCTCCCGCCAAGCTCTGTTTCCTGGCAGATAATTAAACCTGCCGCTGTCAGAGCTACCGCCTCTGCTGGCAGTGCCACAGCCACTTTGGGTTCATGGTTTGGCAAAGTATTGGCCAGCACCACCACAGGGACCAGAGCTTCTGCCTCCAAAGATTCCTACTCTCACGGGTCCAAAATGTGAAGACTGATTGTTGTAATTGCTAACGTCATGGGCGCTCCCTCAACCTCTAAAATATCCAAACCCATGATCGCCATCCCCACTCGCATCTCCACCACCAAACCCAACTCTACCACTGAACTTCCTCCACAACCTGGTTGTCATCCCACCAAAACCACCAAAGTGTCCAGAACCACTTCAACCCGTTCCTATTGCTATTACCCAGCGAGCCATTACTTTTCGGTGCACACTGAAGACAGTGGGACTTCCTCTTCCGATGCAGCCTAATGCGTTCTGGAGCAAAGCCGTTGCTCCCGCCCGAGACACATGCCCCTTGGACTCCTCAGTGTTCGTGCCTCTCAGGTGCCCTGTGCGCTGCTGCTCTGGTCTGTCACGCGCCGGCGGGAGCGCTTCCTCCATCAGCCCCCTCTGAGCAGGCCGTGGCGCTCGTTTCCTCATACTATCTGTCTGAAAGTACAGTTCGCTCTCACTTTGGATTTATTGTTGGCTGGTCTGACTCTTGCTCTTTTGTGAGTTGCCTTTTCTTTTTCCTCTCAAAATTTTTTGAGTTTGTCTTTTTTTTCCTCTTCTGCATTGTCATGAATCTAAGTGTGCATCTCTCTTGCTCAGTCATTTTCCTGAGACCTGATTACCCCTTTTACTCTGAAAAATTTTGTTTTTTTTTTAAGTCATATCAGTTTCCTTACATTATTTCTTTGATGATTTCTTGCCGTTTATAGTCTTTCCTCTCAAACACCTGGTTGGTGGGAAATAGTCCTCTTGAACTTGAAGCCTCTGTATCTTCTTTCCCACAAGTTTCTACTTCTTTGCAAGTTTGCTCTATCTTCTAAAGGCTTTCCATTGACTATTTTCCAAACTTTATATTACATGTACTTCAAGTGTACATGTACTTTATATTGCATGTACTTCCAAACTTTGTATTATATGTACTTCAACACATACAACATATATATATATATATATCTTCTACACACTGTATATTTAATTTCTAAAAGAAAGTTTGTCTTCCAATTACTTGGTTTTTCATGTTCCATTGAACAAATGAAGTCTGTTTTTGGCTTTTTGATGCTTTTAATATGAGGAGTTTTAATTTTCTTGATCTATCTTCCAAATTACCTCCAGGGCTAATTTATTTCCTTATTGTGATTTTTATCTTTGTGATGCGGTCATTCTTAAGGTGCTTTGTACATGTCCCCTGTGCTATTCAAGTAAACAGGCTGGACTGATTTTCCTGGGGGGGGGGGCTCCTCTGCTGTATCATGGACAAGCCCTTTCCCTTTGGACCTTCGTAGCATTGACTTGGGGAGATGGACTGAGTGAGTGTGGCTTGGATTCGGGCTGGCCAGCTCCTGGGGCCACTTTGCATCAGTTGCCAACACCTTTCTATAAATTTAAGTATCCTCAGGAAATTTGTTTGGTTTCATCTATAAATATTCTCTGGTTTGTGCCCTGAAGTTATTTTCACTGCAGGGAGGCACAGAGCAAGGAGGAGCAAAGGAAGTGTGGATGCAGCCACTTGGGACCTCGCTTCCATCTTGGGGCGGCAGAGCACTGTCACACCCATCCTGGCTGGGTTTCTCTCCAGGACCCCCACACTCACCCCATATATTCTAGGCTGCACTCCTCCTCCCTTTTATATCCACAGACATCACCCTTCTGTTAGCCTACACTCTATAGAAGCCACAGCATCTCTGGTGATGGCCTCCTCTTGTGTTTTAGAAATGTGTTCCTCTACTTCGATGGAGTTGGGGACAGTAGATAGGACGATGCTTAGACTTAGCTTTGTGTTTTTAAATTAGAATTTCTTTACTCATATTTTCCTATAAAAATAGAATCATTTAATGATATAAAACATCAGCTGTTCACCCATCTCTATTTTCTATCAAGGATTTCAAAATTTAGCAAAATTATGGAAATAAAATACATAGGCAGATTTTGATATCTCCCTCATGCAATTATCAACAAGAAACCTGCCCTTCTGTTCTCTGCCAAAATGCCAGGGACAGGGTAGCGAGTCTTGGCCTAGAGAGCAGAGTTGATGTGCCCACAGCAATGCTGCACTCCTCTCTTGGCTCTCGAGAGCCCCGGTGGTGACATTTCCTGTGAATTTCCTTTTGGTCACCACGGTTAGTCCTCTACTTTTTCTGTTTTCAGAAACACACCTTGTAGAGTTAGGTAAACTTGAGGATGACTGGGGGCCTTCCAGTTCCTTTAAACTGGGAAGGAAAGGAGCGTCAGATCCAGAAGGAATGAGGTGAGGAGGCTGGTGGCAGGAAGACTTAGTTTCCTCCTCACATTGACCACGGCAGATCAGGGAAACCACAGGTTTATAGGCAGAGGTTGACAGCTGTCCAGGATCCAGCTGTGCAGGAAGCTTACTATTTGGTTGGAAAATAAGTGCTGAGGTGGGAAAAGGCATTCAATTGCAGGCTGTCATACAAGAAAAAAAAAAAAAAAGCAACTGTCATACAAGATCCCAAGCTGGCTCTTGGCTTTGCAACCCCAGGGATTGACATGGACCAGTTCTATGGCCAGGGTCTAGGAAGGATGCCTAGGGTGCACCATTAGTTCAATGGGGAGAAGCTGGCAATGTGACTGGGGTCAATCTCCTGGGAGATGGAGGCCCAGAGAGATTGTAACTTGTCCTTGGGGCACCATCAGGAGGTGGCAGGTGGACAGGTGAAGGCTGCCTTCTTGTCATTGACCAGGCGTGTCACCTAGGCTGCAGGTGTGACCGAGGGTACTTGAGAAAGCACACAGTCTGTTGCCTCCCCGGCCGGGCAGGAGAGAAGAGAGTGGCGGCCGGCTGGCCTGGACTCCTCAGCTGTTGTGCAAGTAGAGTTTCTATTAGTACTGGAAGGTCTGAATGAACCAGGTGGGCACTGCTGTGCTCCAGGGAACAATACAGACCAGACCGGCAAAGCTCTGAGTAGTTCTGAGTGGGGTCGCCAGGCATCTGTGGAGCCCACTGAGCGCAGATCGGCCCCCTGCAGATTCTGACTCCCATGGGGTCTGCAGTTGGTGCTCCCACATTCCCTGGGGTTCCGATGCCCCTCAGGTTGAGAACCACAGTCTAGTGAACACATCTTTTTAAAACGAAGATGGATAGGGCAGGTAACGTGTCCGATAACACATGGCTGGCTGGCTGCAGAGACAAGATTCCAACCTAAGGCCCATGACGGCTTCTGTCCCTGTCCTGCCCTCGCAGGTCATGTGACAGAAGTGGACAGCCTAGAATCTGGATGTATAAACAAAAATTAATTTCTACTGACTTCTGATAAAAATTGGCAGTACCAGGCGATATAACTAATGAAGATCCATACCTTCCCCATGTCACAATGTCATCTGGAGACTGTGCTGGGGAATAGTCAGAGGTTGTTCTGGCCTCTTTGATGGATTTGAAAAATCAGAACACCTTCCTATTTGTTACTCATTTTCACTTCCAAGTCACTTCTCAGGCGCCCAGGCTTCCCTGGTCCTGCCCTTCAGGTTACCTAGGGCATGACTCCCACTGAGCTCCATGCTCTTTATGTTTGGCTTCAGCTTCTACTGTCAGATTCCTTCCATAGTGATTAAGAATGTGGTCGGCACCGATCCGTTCTCTAGGTGAGTGGGCATCTGGGCCAGCCGCCCCACTGTTGCATCTGCCTGGCATGAAGAGAGCCTGTGCTGCCTTCTGCCCTATGGGAGCAAAGCCAGGGGACAGGCTCTCTTGGAGACATCACGTGCCTAGAAGTCCCCCGTACAAGATGGGCTTCCCAGCGGCTAGATAAGCTGCCCTCCGTTGCTGTCCTATGCCATTATTCACTATCAAGAACATACAAATTCGGGTGGCTATCTGGTCACCTCTGGTTTCGGGCAAGTCATGTGGTCTATCCCATTGCACCCTGTGGAGGTCTTGGGGCAGGAGGGTTTCCCAGTCAGCTAGGAGCAGCCTTTGGGAGCAAGGCAGGGCCACCATTGAGGGGTTTCTGGGATGGATCCTAGGTAGTCCCTGGAAAGCAGAGGACTGGAGGGGCCGGGGACTCACCACAGTGCCTGTGGCTGAAAGTGGACAGTCCTACAGAGGTGGCTGTGGCAGTGACGAGGGACTTTGCAGTTGCCACCTCTGAAGTGATCGAGAGCCCCAGGTCCTAGGCAGGGCTGCTCTTTGTCCTCAGGGCCAGGTCAGGTGGTCTGGTGAACTCTAAGTGGGCTGTGTTCTCTTTTCCTGACCTTCCCTCCCTGTCCTTCATAGATCCGAACAAAGGACAGGGTTTTTGACAGCATCAGCCACCTGGTCAACCATCACCTGGAGAACAGCCTGCCCATCATCTCCGCTGGAAGCGAGCTCTGCCTCCAGCAGCCGGTGGAGAGGCGCACCTGACAGCTCTGCCTGTCCCCCCACAGCCGCGGTGGCCAGGAGGACCGATTCTTTGGCAGATGGGCACAGGGCCTCGGGAACCAGGCAGCAGCCTGCAGGCACAGAGCCCTGTTAAAGGCCCCAGAGGAAGACAACTTCTGGAAAGTGCAAGTTTCATAAACTTGTTCTAATTTCTCATGTGCATATTAAAGGTGTACATACCTATACATCCTGTACAAAGTATCCCTCTATATTTATATTTTTTAAGACTAAACAAGATGTAAGACTAATGTTCTGTGCTGTATGTTTTTAATGAAAAAATGTTTGACTGTAGTTGTCTGGGCAAAAATTTAATTCAACTGACCCATTCCACCGGGAAATTCCACTAGGAGGGTGTGACTGCAACTTTACTGAATAAGCACAACACCAGGAGTAGAGGTAGGCTGGAGGAAGGGCAAGAGAACGAAACAGAGCAGAATGAGGCAAGCGCTGCCCCCAGGTCCAGCTCTGCCCCTAGAACATAGCGCTGCTGCGGTGGCCCTTCCTCCGGACGTGGGAGCCCTCCTCCTCCTCTTCCTCCTGGCTGCCCCCCGGGCTGCTGCATCACATCTGTGTGCTCCCGTCCGCAGCACCAGGCGGCTCTCGCAGCTGCACTGCGGAGCTGCTCCCCTCCAGCAGTGTCAGGGCCTGCTGAGCACAGAAATAATGACCCTCTTGACCTCAGTTATCCAGGCGGTCTTGGGATTCAATTTACTGCCAAATATGGCACAAAATCAGCCTCACCGATGAAGACCTTGACTGGCAAAGGCTTCCCTCATTTTTATAGGGACAAAACTCATGTCTGCAGAGGGAAGTCAGGCCAAATCTGTTTCTATGTTCTTCCGACCAGCAGGCTGGATTATAGGCTGCTGGAGTGGCTGTTGCTGGCAAAATTCTCTTCCCGTAGATTCAGTGAGCAAAGGCATGGCTAGGAGGGGTGCCAAGATGGCACAGCACGGGTGCCCGGAGGTCAGCCCGGAGGCCATTCACATCCCCTTTCTCCTGGGATTCCTCTGCTGAAGCCAAGGACAAGCACACAAAAGTGGAACTTGGGTTTGTGGTTCCGTTTCTGAGATGACTGCTGGGTCAAGGGAGTTACAAGGACAAGCACACAAAAGTGGAACTTGGGTTTGTGGTTCCGTTTCTGAGATGACTGCTGGGTCAAGCGAGTTACAAGGACAAGCACACAAAAGTGGAACTTGGGTTTGTGGTTCCGTTTCTGAGATGACTGCTGGGTCAAGCGAGTTACGTCCACGCAGACTTCCCAAACGCCCTCGAAGGGTGTGTGCCCACACACCATTCTGTCTTGGCTCCATCCTTTGAGATAAAACATTGATTTCTCACTGCGTCTTTTGGCATTAGGAAGTTGAGAATGTTTATACTTAAACAAAATACACATCGGGGTTGCACTGACCATGTGATTTAACAAATACTGTCCTTTAAAGGATAAACAGATACAACCATTTGGTGGCACCTTCAGTGGTTCTACCTGATGTGCCCTCGCCCCAGTGAACCCCCTAAGTGTGGCACCTTATAAAAAGGGCAACAGAAAGTCATCCTGCACACAGAGAGTTGTACAGTGATGCATTTGATGCTTCAACATTGAAGTGTACAGGGTAGATTTGAAAAACTCTAATGAGTACTAGTCTGCAAATTTCTAATGCTCAGTACGCAAATCCTGTTTCTACTTTTGGAAGGGTATGGCCAGGTTGGAAGGAGGAGGTCGAGGACAAGTTGGAATAGGTTGAGTGTTTTCTCTGTGGCCTTCTTTGGAGTTTTGCCTTTTGAGGGACCAGTGAATCTAAGATGACAGTGGCTTCTGGGATGTTCTGCAGTGAACTAGAACTGTATGGAGACTCTGACACTAGTTTAGTCCTCCGTCAGCATCGTTGAAGGATTCTGGTTTCGGGGGCAGCATGAGTACCCCATTATTCAGAAACAGAGGGTTGTGACCAAAGGTTTGTGCAGTGCCTGGCTCAGGCTCCCACCCAAAGGCTGGCAGGTTTGGGGGACTGGGAGCTTGGCCTGCAACCTCCAGTGTTTAGAGGCCCGTGGGGATATATGCACAAAGTGACTTTTCTTTCAATAGTGGAAGGTGTGTAAGGCCAAGTGGTAATGTCAAGGGCATAGCACATTAGGAAACCAGAGTGAGGGCAGTAAGCCCTGACACTTGATCTTCTGTGTTTCCTCTTGGGGATGGAAGCAGCGGTCATTGACAGCTTCAGCAGCTGTCTGCTCTGAAGTTGTTGTCTCACTGGTGATACACAGTATTGGTAGATGACGGGGGATTGCGTGAGAATCAACTGAAAAATTTAAGCGAAATGGGGGATCAAATTTTGTTTTGTATTAACTCCAATGATGTGTTTTGCAGCTCAGATGGCAGGATGGCTAACCATGGGACAGCGCCAGGTGGGGAACTGTACCCGCCCTCAGGGCCAAGCGCCTTCAGGGGCCATCACTTCAGTCTCCCGCCTTCCCACTCTAAGGAGCACTAGAGCGCACACTCTCATCTCATTTTTTCTTCCAAGCCACGTGATGGGTATCTCTGCGCACCTCCTAAATACATGGGGATACTGGGGCTCAAATGCTCAGGCCTGCTCAGGCCACGCTGTCCTTGACCTAGCACGCCTGGAGCTCTAGACATCAAGGGCACTTGACAGGACCCTCTTCCAGTCCCTACTGGGTCTCTCCCCCAGGCTCTAAGTCTCCGCTGGGGAAGCACCTCATGGGAAGCACCCGCTGCCCATGTCTATTCAGGGCCAGCTGCTAAACGGGCAGCCCCAGGAACAGCTCTCTGAGCGGGCCCAGGGCCTCCACCTCCCCAGGTGTGGAGACTGCATATGGCCACTGGCAACTGGACAGTGCTGGAGCCTCTGCCCCTCTCATGAGCCCCCCAGCCAGTGGACCAGGTCTTGGAGTCAGCTGGGGCCAGAAGGTAGGCCCAGCAGTCCTAACACGGCCCCTTGCGAGCAGCCCGAGACCCTACTCTCAGCCGTCTTACTGCACTGCCCGAACCAGATGCTAACATGAAGGCCAGTGTGACTGGCATTCTCAACCTGCAGAGCTCTTTGGGGGCCCCTGGGGCTGCTCCTTGATGTTTTAAGTCAGCATCAGTGCTTGATGACCAAGGACACTCTAAGCAGCCAGTGGGCAGTCTGATGAGGACACATCCAAACAGCTCCCCCTCCAAAACATGCAACATGGCCACTTTGGGCTTTTTATGCATGAGACATCAAAGGGCTGGGCATCTGCTCAGCCTCGATGCAGGTTTCCTTTAAGCAATGATCCTGCTTAAAACCATCTCCGGAGCTGAGGGCCATGAACAAGACCCCGAGGGGCTCTTGCTAGAGGAGGGCATCGCCCATTGCTTCTGGGCAAGGCAAAAGCACAGACACAGGTAGAGAAGAGGCCTGGGTCAGGACTGTCCACTGAGCCTTTGGCTCCATGCCTGTCCAGCTCCTGGAAGGAGCTTCCCTTCCAGGTAGTGCCAGGCACCATGTGGCTCCCCCATACAAGCAGTGCTTGAGGTCAGTGTCCTGACGAACTGCCACACGAAGCCAGACTCGTGTCCTTGGGTCATGGGCCTCCTCGGGTAGTGCCAGCAGCGGCGGACGTGATGTCCAGCCTCAGCTCCGGTGGCACAGGGTCACGTGCCCAGGCTGCTGCTGAAGGTCTCGGGGCTGTGACTTGCCACCTGCTCCCAGGGCTGCGCAGTCTCCAGCCTGCTATTGGGGTCGCGGCTGCGTGTAGCAGGAAGGAAAGGGGCTTCCTGGGATACTTCAGCCACAATGTGTGCTCTCTCGAGATGTGGGTCCTTTGGGGGCCACACAGGGGCTCCTCATCCTTCCCTGGGTCTTCCTTTCTTCTGGGTTCGGCCGCCAGCTCTAACTGCCTGTGTGAAGGGGCAGTCTGGCGAAAACAGTGGGGAGAGGTGGAGAGACGGCAGGCTGGGAACCCCATACACACAAGCTTTGGCCTTGGGCTTCAGAAAAGCACTCTGGGCTCTGGAGTGCAATTGTTCAGTGTGGTCCTGAAAAAGATAAAGTGGGGGCACCCTGGGGCTGCCACTGCTCTCCAGAAGACAAGAAGCAAGGGAGTACTGGTACTGGGTGCCAGGCAGCTAGAGGGACAGCCAGGGGGCATGCCCAGGGGTCAGATGCCAGTTGCTGACCCTCAGACCAACTGCAGGACTTAGCAGGGTCCTTGTGGTCTGTGCCTGCAGCTCTCCAACCCTCCCATGGAAAATGGCAGGTGGCTCTTCCCCAAGGACTTTACACTTAGGTCGCCTCCCCCTCCAAGGGCATATGGTGGCATCATTTACATAGACAGGTGAAGACGTGTGTCTATTTCTCTGGTTTAGTTTTTGGTCCTTCAGCAGGACCCTCAAGGGCAGTATGAGTGCATGTGGTGTCTCTGGGAGAGGACCCCACAAGTGGGGAAGGGGGAGAAGCAGACTAGGAGGACACAGCCGAGCAGGTCACCAGGAGGTGGCTACTTCTGCACCCTGGGGACTGCATGCAGCAGGGGGAACTTGTTTCAGAGCTAAGGCCCCAGGGTGGTGGACAGCCCAGTGCGCTCCACTCTGCCCACCCACCCTGTCCACTGTCCTGTACACACCGAGCACATTCCCCAGTTCAGAGTTCTTAAGCAGAGAGGCAGACTTTCCTGCAAAAAGGCCTTGGAGGAAAAGGCAAACAGAGCCATCCAGTGTTCCTTCCTCAGTAGTTTCAGGTGAGGCCCAAGAATTTGCATTCTGATCAATTGCAAGCGATGCTGATGGGGAAGCTAGGCTTCTAGAGCTGCTTTCGATATGAGTTGCTGTCCTTAACTGCCTCTTACTAATAGCTTCCCTCTCTAATCTATGGTTATGTTTTCTTGTCACTTCATGTCATCGATCCCAGGGTCCATACTGCTGGTTTAAAAGTGGAGGATTAATAGGCATTTATAACTCCATATAATCATTGCTGCAGATAAAATACCATCTGCCACCCACAATTTATTTATAATGGGGTTTATACATATTTATAAGTTTGCAAGCAACAAATACACAGTTTTAAAACTGGCACATTCTATAGCAGCCAGAAAAATTGCGACTTTATCCCAGGACTCGTGAATGTCAATTGCACATGTGTCTACACACACACGTACACCTGCGCTGATGGCACAGGTGCGCATCTGCCTGGCTATGTGCACAGGCAGCTGGGCTGTGAGATTTGCACCTCTGCACTCTTCCTTGAGTTTTGGTATTTTAACGAGGATAGTTTTGACAAGGACAAATAGAAAGTTAAGCAGATGTTAAGAGTTTGGACTGTTAAAAGTAAGGACTTGACACCTGCAACATGGAGGGGGGCCTGGGGTGCTGTGGGATAGGGGACCCTAGTGCCAAGGAAGCAGGAAGGCCACAGGGTAGGGGGACTGTGAGAAGTGGAAGCAAGACAGCAGGGAAAAGAAGCCAGGGAAGGGTAACGAGGCGAGGAGAAGACAGATGAGGATAAAGTGGATGGAAATGGGAGAGGGAGACAGCAGATCCAGATTTATGTCTGGTACTTGCTGCAGCTCAAGTCAGAGCCACCTCAGAAGGACAAGCCAGGGCAGGCGTGGTGCAGTGCACCCTATCACTGTGGGTGGAGGACAAGACTGTCTCCCCAGGGTGCATGTGGCACTGCCGGTGACCTTTCCAGCCGGCCTTCTCTCGGCCTGAGCTCACACACAGGCACTGGGCTCCTGGGATCTTGCTGTGAAGGGGGTGGGCTCTGCCTGCCCGAGCTGGTACCTCTGCTAGGAGGTGGACACCACACAGCTTGGTAGTAAGACTCTCCTGAGGCTATGGCCAAGTTCAAGGGGACCAGGTGGGAGTCTGAAAACTGCAAACTGGGCAGCCCATGGGGTGGTGGTGTCCCAGCCAGCGGGACCAGCAGGAGGGTGGACGCTCCTTGCACACAAGGTTGCCAGGGTTGGATAGTGGTGGCGAGGCTGTTTCCCCTCCTGCCCGGGACCAGTGGCTTCAGGCCCAAAAAACAGTGTTCTTCCCTGAAGGCCATGAGCCACCATCACGGAGGAAGGTGCAGGGGATGAAATCTCTTCTTACAGGTTCAAGTTTCTTACTGTTGGTTCACTTGGGAGTGGTGTAGGTAGGAAAATGTGCACATGGGGGGCTCGCTGTGGTCCTGAGTGTTTGAGGTCGTTCATTCATACCCACCCGGGGCAGATTTATCACAACCAAAGTTTGCAATGACTGAATCAATCGACAATTAACAAAGCAGAAGTGAACGAGCCAATGCATCTTTGAACACTGAAATTACCTTTTTCTGTAACAACTATGTGTTGGTTACAAGTGGAATGTTCTCTGTTGATTTGACTTTTGAATATAACTTGTTTCAGAATAAATATTGTAAAATTAAGTATGTGAATGTTCTGTGTATTCAGAATTAAACACTGATGTTTAAGTCCAAGGATTAGGAGAGGACTCCATGTAAATTTAATGTGTAATAATAAGATATTTATTACTTTTTCAAAAGGGTTTGGATGGCAGATTATACATACTGAGAATTATTATTTGAAAATATTGTGTTCTGTTTTCCATTAACTTTCGTGAAACAAACAAAAGTGAAATTATTGTCAAGGTCCCTGTTTGGTTTACTGCCAACCCGCCACGTTCCACTTTCATCCTGGAATGGATTTGGCCTTTGAATGTCCCTGAGGAGTGGAAACACTAATTTCAACTTTTTTGATCTCTGTCCTGTGAAAAATGATAAACCTAAATGATGGGGCCAACATTGAGAGATTTGAGAAAGCAGTGACAGAGACAATGAGCAAAATTCCCTCCTCACCCCAACAGATTCAATTCACTCCTAGAGGAAATGATGTGGTTTCCAGTTGTGAGCCCTTGGTGACATACCTGGTGCATCCCTAAGTACCTGGGAGCCAAGCGAGGTGCAACCCGGCACCCCGTGTCACCCGCGGCCCTGGGCTACTTGGGTAGTGCTGTACTTGTCCCTGTCATCGGGTATGGGAAAATGTGCCTTCACTTTCAGAACAGCGGTGTGTGCATTTCTGATTATGTAGCAAATCCTCTGAGTTTTGACTTAAATACTAAAAACATTTGGGTGTTGAGGTTTTGGACTCATAGATACAATTTAAAAGCATGGGCTTGGTAATTTAATTAGAAGTTTTCTATAAAATAAACCTTGTTACGTTTCTGTGAAAGGCTCTTTACTAGCATAGGGGAACCATGGGTGGAGAGAGAAACACCATTTTCTCAATAATTTGTTGTTTAGATGACTGTCCATGTAAGTCTGTTGGCAATAAAAGATATAATGAAAAGTCTCTGATTCAGGTGGCTGCTCTTGTGTTACCTCACAAAGGAGAAGGGGGAGTGTGTGAAACCTTGCTGGAGAGAGCAGGAGTTGTTACTCCTCAGGCTTCTTAAAACACACTTACAGAAACACACTCTGTGTCCAAGGTGTGGAGTGTAAACAGCAGCTTGGCCAAAGCCAAGGTTAACTTCTACGACTTGGCATTTATTGACAGAATCAAGAGGCAGAACACTGTGATCCTCATTTGAGTTGGGAAGAGCGAATGTCAACGCCAGAAGAGTTATTCCACTGGGGTCTCTCTATGTAGAACACAGAGCAGAAAGGTTAAAATTTAACCACTTGTAAAGGACAAGGCTGGGGGAAGGGTTGGCTCAAACTTACTCTCCTTTGTGGCAGATGGAGCACAGCCAAACATCCAGGTCTTTCTCTGGACCGCACTTCACTGCCTGGGCAGCTAAGATGCTCTCCCCATCAGTCCACTGACCTGACATTGGCGTGACCGCAGCGCCTCTGGCACACTGAAGTACCACGGGCACTGGCTGTGCTGGTGGTGAATACAGCTGATTGGGAAGTCTGCAGGTGGTTTAGAAATGCAGGTCCCAGGTGAGAGATCGGGCTACCAGCGTGCACCCCTCCAGGTGTCCTGGTGAAAGCATGCTCACACGAACACCCCGAACAACAGGCTTATACAAAGGCAATTGATTTTATTTTTGACAAACATACATTAGACATAATAAGGGCTACTACCTGACTGAGGTCGGACACGTGGCTTCTCTGGGGCATCACATGCCCAGGTCTGTGTGATCACCCACTGGCTAGGGAGGAGTGTGCTCACTGGAATCAATGATTACTTTTTGGATATAGCAAATGAGCACAGTCACTACATCATAGGTTTCATTCAGCTCCCTTGAAAATTTTGTGTTATCTCAAAGAGAACTCTGGATGGTGGTGTGAAGTGTCACTAATATCAGCACCAGGGCCCCAGAGTTCCCAACACCACTTAGAACTGATAGAAAGTTCGAAAACCACTTAGTCCTTGCCTAAGTGGAAATGCGATACCCAAGTCTTTGACCCTCTGATGCCTTTTGTTTGCTTATTTGTTTTCTTAACCCAGTACCACACGGCTTAACTTTTCTAGAAATGCCCTGAATTTTCTCAAGCTAGTTCATAAAATAAAGGAGACAACAAAATGTCTCCCTACATTTTGGACTTAAATTGATGAGACATAAGGGCTCGTCTCGTCATTAACAAAAAGAAGGACATTGGTACATGTTTATCCCGAAAATGTGCCTCAGTAAGAGGGGCTTCCAGCAGATAGCCCAAAAGTGACATAAAAGATGAGCCTTTTGGTCCGTACTAAAAATTCTCTCTGAACCTAAAAATCTTCAGGGGCTCCCATGTGAGGGTTACTCAAGTAAGACTCCTTGGAGGGTTGTTTGCTTTTGTAAATCACTGACCAGTCACTTAAGTGCTTCACCAATATGTGTAGCTCCTCTGCCTGGCAAGTAGAACCCCAGGGGAGGGCACGCGAGAGGAGGTCCACCTTCTAAGCCCCTTTACAAAGTGAAGGGCAACACAGATTCCGCCTGTGAGGAAGCAAGATCTCGGGGGTCCCGAGAGAGCTTGTCTGGGAGGAATTGGCAGCCCCTCCTGACCATGCAGCAGCTGTCCCAATCTCTGTGGAGAGCCCTCCGGGAAGCGGGGGGACTCTGCCTGAAGGCTGGACTTCCACAGGGAAGGATGTTGACTTGCTGCTCCTCTGAGACAGAATCCAGCTCAACATAGGATCAAAGTGCTATCTGGCAAACTCTCCCGATTCAATGGAACGTTCCATTATGTTCAACAGACAGCGGCTGCTTGCTGCATGGGTTCTTTCCTTGGTGGCTCTGAAGCACAGCTCCCCAACACCTTGGTTAGCTTTTGGTGACTTGCGTTTTGGCTCTTGGATCTACTTAAAATTAGGCAGAAGAGAAGTGGGCACAAGCCCCAACTTGCTGACTGTCACCCAGACCCTCAGACACCGGCATGTCCAGGGGCACAGTCGCAGGGCTGTTTTGGGTCAGCCCCCAAGCCACTTTTGGACTGTGCGAGTTTAAAACAGCTGACCACAGACCTGTAGTCAGTTGGAGGAGACGGACTGTACCTCTTCCCCAGCGTGCTTGCAGCTGCATCCTTGTGCCCAGGGCTTCTGCCAGACACACTGGCATCACCTGTGTGTGACTGCCACATACTGCTCGCAGCTCACACGCCCCTGATGGCAAAGGAGCAAAAACACTAGTGGGCTATGTAACAAAAAGACAAATATACAAAACCCACCCTCTGCATGGTCAGAGATAAAGTCACTAAGACTTCACCCGAGGTTCTGAGGAACACAGGCTACACTGTTGACCCTTGACCTCCCTTCTCCAGGAGCAATGGAGAAGGACCAGCGAGAGTAGTCCTGGGCATCAGCCAGACCCCAGAGCCCAAACGGACAGGCATGCTGTCCAACCGGAATGGACCCGTGAGTCTGCAAGTCCCTCCAGAAGAGATACCCATACCAAGTGACCGCTGGCACAGCCACTTCCCTGTCCCAGCTGGACGAGGGTCTTCGGAGGGGGCAGGCAATAAATAGGTACGTGGCTGCTGAGCTGGTGACGCTCTTCCCAGGATTTAACCTCAGGAGCCCTTCCCTGAGGCCGGCACCCTCACTGACTGAGAACGCCATTCTGCAGGGGTTTGTTTTTGTCGATGATGCTAGGCAAGGTGGTCACCTGGGGAAGGTCTTCCTTGCTTTTTGGGCCGGGGCTACTGTTGTTGCTGCCACTGGACTTGCTTCTGCTGGGGTCGAGAGCAGGCTGGACAGGTGAGGAGCGGGTGCCTCTGCCTTTGACCAGACAATTGCACACCAGCTGGAAGAAGGCCCGCCGCATCTCCTTGCTGGCCAGCGTGTAGATGACCGGGTTCATGGCGGAGTTGAGCACAGCCAGCACCACGAACCATTGCTCCTTGAACAGCATGGGGCACTCCTTCACCCTGCAGGCCACGTCCACCAGGAAGAGGATGAAGAGCGGGGACCAGCAGACGATGAACACGCTCACCACGATCACCACCGTGCGCAGCAGCGCCATGGAGCGCTCCGAGTTGTTGGGGTTCGCCACCCTGCAGCTGCTGGACTTCACCAGGCAGTAGATCCGCGCATACAGGATCACGATAGTCAGCAGGATGGCTATGAAGATGCTGATGCAGAAGGCGATGTAATGCTTGGAATACAGGGGCAGGATCGTAGAGCACTCGGAGAGTTTGTGCAGGCAGTTCCAGCCCAGGATGGGCAAGGCGCCCAGCGAGAAGGCAATCAGCCAGCACATCCCGATCAGCAGAAACACGCGGTACTTTTTGTTGGCATCGTAAGGTCTCATTTTGATCATGGTCAAGTAGCGCTCGATGGCGATGGCAAGTAAGCTGCAGGTGGATGCCCCCAGGGCCACGAACATGCTGCCTTCCCGGAGGAACCAGACGGTAGGAGACAGGCTGAGCGTCCTCTTCCCCGACATCAGAATGTTGACCTTATATACGATGCCGGCCAGCAGGTCACAGAGAGCCAGGTTGCCGATGAAAAAGTACATACGATTGTGAAATCTATTGTTTTTCCAGATGGCGATCAGAACCATCAAGTTCTCCAGGACGATGAGGCTGCAGATGACCAAGAACAGGGCGGTGGTGAGGGGGCTGCCTTCCGCCGCGTCCTTCAGTCTGCCCTCCAGCTTGCCCACGTAGTTGTAATGTTCGAGCAGGGTCTCATTGCCGGGTGGAGGGTTGGGCAGCTGCAGGACCACTGCCGCCATCACTTGAAGTTCACAGACACTTAGTTCCAAATTCCAGCAGAGGGCGCCCCGGGAACATCCATTTTGGGGGAAGACAAAGACTCAGGCTTCCATGGAGAGGTCAGATGACAGCTGAGGTGCTGGGAACAGGCTCCTGCAAAGAGATAAAGGGAGGATGCCTAGTCAAGGCGACAGCAAAGCTGGGGCCCGATGGCTGCACTGTGCCAGGCAGAGAGCCCTGAGCTGGCGGCCACCTGAGGAGGAAGGGGCGAGCGGGTCTCCCGCTGTGAGTAGCTGTGGGAGGGGCAGGGAAGGCGGAATCTAGTGCTGTGACTTGGAAGCTTCTTTTGAGGCCAGAGGAAGAGCAGAAAGCTCCCGTGAGCACGCGGGCCTTAGAATTCAGAGATCTGAAACCAGAGGTAACTGCCCAAATCCCAAAACTAAATCAGTGCATGTGAGTCCAGAGAAAGCAACTTGGGGGCTTTAGTGAGACATCAGGGCCACAAAATGAAGAGCTGAGTCCTCGAAGGCCTGGTCTGGAGTCTCCCCACACTGGCCCTGAACCTCGCACCCACCTGCGGCATGTCCATCGGCCTCTGGGGAGGTCGATAGTGAGGTAGACACGGCTCTCAGTGGACTCCCAGATTTAAAATTTCCGTTTAAACAGCTCACGATGGGTTTCCAATAAACAACCCTAATTTGGGCTGAGACACAGATGGACTGCTCTCCCATAATAGGGGGCGCTGCTCTCTGGGGTCAGGTGGCATCGGAAAGTCTCATCTACCCTGACTCATGTCCAGGTACAAACTGGGGCAAAGAGAGCAGTCGGGGTGGGGGGGGCAGGGGTTCAGTATTGGCAAGTGCTTTGCGGGTGGAAACAGAGGACACGCCAAGTAGGTCCTTGCCCGTCTCCCTGGCATCCTGGCACTGTTCCCAGGGTCCTCACCCTCCTTAATTAGGGGGTTCAATTCATACCCCACTGCTTCTTTGCAGAAATTGTTCCCAGTGCATGAAAGCTTCCACAGGACAGGGGTGGTGAGCTGACACCTGGGTCCTCCCTGCAACTCTCCTGACCCTGGTCAGACCCTCATGACAGCTGACCGGTGCCATCCAGGGCCAGGTGTCACCTTTCCTAACATCAGAGGGGAAAGCAGGCAGGTTCTGAGGCCAGGTGGATGATGGAAGACAGAGGAGTACCTGTGGGCCTCCTGTTTTGCTGGGGAGTTTAGGGAGGCAACAGAGTCCTGGGGTCCACCTCCCTGTGTGACACCCATCCAGGCACAGGGCACAGAAGGCAGAACCGATCCAGTTCTGGCTCCTGTCTGCTAGACTGAGGCCAGATAAGGAGGACAGACTTGACAGCCAGGATGTTCCTGCTCCTGGGCCAGTTTGGGGGCAGCAGGGCTCGCCCCACCCACTCCTACCCACTATGCCCCTACCTAGCGTTTTCTTCTAAATCTTGCTTGTGTTTCAAGGCCCAAGTCCAACTGCACCTGCTCTGGAAAATTTTCCGGAATCAACTTGGCCCCTGGTGATGTTTCTGGGGCTGCAGAGCAGTTTCCAAATTGCAAGCGTCTGTCCTTTTAAGAGGCAAAGTAACAGTAGCACCTGCCACTCCATGCTCCCTCTGCCAGGAGTATCTTCTTTAATGCCCACAGGACATCACGGAGTTCCCAGCGCCTCTCGCAGCCTCTCCAGTAACACGTGCCCAGCTGCTGCTTGGCTGGGTATTCGCTCCCTCGAGTAGCGATTTGGAGAATCCACACCCCTGCTCTGCTCACCTGGTCCTGGTGCTGAGGACGCCAGGGAAAGACTCGGCCCCCAGTAAGCTCCCCACCCCAGGCACGAGTGCCCCACGCAGATGCGGCCATGGCCACAGCCCTGTGCCCGTTCTCGGGAAAGCGCAGCTCCCAGCCACTCCCAGAGGCACAGAGCAGACACAGCGGACCAAGCGCTCCAAGGGCTGACATTTTTCTTTTATTCCCTCCCTGGATGCATAGGGTTTTGATAAAAATATAGCCGGGGTGGACAAGGGGGGAAGCAAAGCAAACCACAAAAATCAGTGTAAGACGTGGCCACGACACACCATAGCAATAACTCTGAAGTAAACCTATTTTCCCTCTAATGCTTGATTTATCCTTTCCTTTAATTAAATATTCACCACTCAGGGAGCATTTTTCTGAAGAAAAAGCATTTTTTTGGTAAAGAAAAATGCTTTAAAGTGAATCTCCACATTCTGTGAAATTAGAAGATACTCCGCTCTCTTTGGAAGCTGAAAGCGTATTTTCTCTATATTATTAACAATCAAGTAAAGCCCATTCTGAGAGTTAAGTGCTGGGTTAAGGCCAGATTGATTCTGGAGGTGTCTGAATGTCACTGTACATGGTCAAAAGACTCACCGATGGGCCAGCTCGACCTCAGGTATACCACAGAGCCGAGCTTTCGGTTGAAAGCTGGCAGCCCTCCCCCACTGCTGCCACCTACCCCTCGAGGGGCCCGTCAGTCCACCAAGGCACTCTGGAGTTTCATCTGGTCACCGAGAAGTGCTGGCCCTGTGCCTGCCACCCCGGGACCACAAACAAGTCTCATGACTCCCCACTCTATAAGACCAGCTCCCTCCAACCCCTCATGACTCTTTCTGGTACTAACCATCCCCAACGGGACCACGTCTAGGCTTCCCATCCCCAAGGGCAGTTCTGCTCTGCCTGCTTCTGCCCTTCACATGCAAGGTGCCTGCATCTGTGTGGGGCATCTTCCTCTCAGCAAGCTCTGACTAAAGATGCTGGGGTTCCTTCCCAGGTCCCAACACGCGCAGGAGGCACGTTTATTCTTGCTTGTGGCTGCTGGTGGTTTCCACATTTCTGTCCTCAGTGGTGCTGCCAGGATGGCTGAGGGTGTCGAGGCAGTGGCACGTGCCTTCTTTCCATGGGCCTCTCTGGGTTTCGTGCGGGTGCTAAGCTGGACTTGCTATGACGCTCCCCACATGGCTGAGAGGCTCAGCTGACCATTCTGCAAACTAGCCTCTGGGGAACTGGAGAAGCCCCACAGAAGGTGAGAGGGATGGGCGCTGCAAAGGTTCCTGCTTTGTTTTATTGTAAAAGGGAAGGGTCTGGGGTGGCGCTGCCTTCTCTCTCCTTTCACATTATAGAAGTCTAACCACCGCTTAATTTCCATGTGAACACTTAGAAATAAAGCCGGATGCTGAGAAATGTGGCCATCTGCCCATTATTCCTATGCATCCTTAGGAAGAAAGGCATGTCTTACAGGCACTTGGGCCTGGGAGAAGCTCAGGACTGATGAGGGTGGTCTTCCACCTTAGGGTGCTTAGGTCGCCCATCAGGACAGAGCTGAGGAAGCCAAGCTGGCTTTGCTATGTGCATCCGCAGAGTTCTCGCTTTCAAAACTTGAGCTCAAGTAACCCCAAAGATGGCCCCAGCCAGGCTGTGTGAGGATTTGCCTGTTGCGCTCCAGAACAAGGACGCATGTTCCCCACACCCTGGCTTCCCTTATCTCTACTCAAGGACCAGTTAGCTAAGAGCTCTCGCTTCAGCCTCATTAATCTGGGATCTTCAAGTGTACCTCAAGATATTTTAACACCAACACCTCTTCTTTTTGCCAAAAAGGAAAAAGTCAACTTCTAGAAGTTTCCTTGGTATGTACCCCAGGAAGACCCTGTGAGTCCATTCCCTCCACTCCGAAGAGGAGCATCCACTTGGATTGAGAGTGGGGGATGGGCTGATGGATTCCAGATGTGGGTTCTATGCTAACGATTCACTTTCTCTACACGTCAGTTTGAAAACTAAACAAGCCATAAAAAGAAGGAAAAGGGGGAAAGACAGCAAAATATTTCTACAAAGTCTGGGGTCTGTCTCTCTCCATAATGGCAAAACAGAAAAGCACAGCAAAGATAGTGAGTGAGAAATTTCTTCGAGTGAGATGCAGGATGCTGTATTTTTAAAAAGGACATTCAACTAGTTCACCTTTAAACTGAATTAAAAAAAAAAAAAATCATTTGCCAACAAGTAAAATTTCCTGGAAAGCAAGATTTTTTTTTCCTGCTTAAAAGAATTTAGAAAGAAAATATTGAGTAGACTATTAGTCAGGCGAGGACAATTTCCTCCCTTACGAGCAGGCTCCTGGCTCCGACTTTCTTAGGGACCCCACCGCTTTTGGGGTAGTTCACAGCAAGGGGCCCCTGCACGGGGACTCACATGCTGACAGCGAAAGGACCTATGCTCCAGTTTAACCCGGGAGGGATGTTCACCTCTGCCCTTGCTTCTCTGGGAGCTTGGAAGTGAATTAGCCTCCTCCTCTGAATGACTGGCTAAGATGAGGCCCACATGCCATCCCAGATGGTCTCTGTCCAGGGAACCCCGGGGATGGACGCTGTGCCCCACCCTGGCGTAGAGTAAGCTCTCACACATGCTCTCCAAGCGCTGGGGCTTGACTATCAGAGGTGGCTGCTTCGATACCAGAGGTTTTCTACACTCCTTGCTTTTCAAACTGTGTCCTCTCTGCATGAACTAAGTGAGGGCACAGCAGTGAATTCTACATACACGTGAAGGTGAGAGGAGATGAGCTCGTGGAGGCAAATGCAAACACGGAGTGTTCTGCCCGTTAAGCCTTACCTACCCCTTGCTCCATTTCCCAGAGGGACAGCACAGACATCACACACTGCACCTCACATCCCTTCTGGTCCCTCTCAGCTGCCTCTGAAGGTACACAGGAAGAAACAGAGGCCAAGGGCCAGGGACACTCCTCTTAGTGCCACAGCTCAGAAGGGCTCATGTCCCTGCTGTGCATTCAGTGTACCTCACGAGGGATAAGCTACCGCCCTCCCAGGTGTTCTTCACCTAGCTGTGGTGAAAGCAACGTCAGCATGCTTTAGAATGAAATAGCTTCTACTACTATACTAGCAAAAGGCTAGCATGCTAATTTGGGGACTTTACTGAAATACATGACATTCCTGTCAGCAGGGAAACTAGGCAGAGTCTTCAAGACCACAGAGCCCTGCCCACTGACTCAGGACTCTCACTCTGGCCCATGGTACCCATGAGATGCCAGACCCACCCTTGGTACCACACTCTCCACCAAAAAGCCTAGGCCCTGAATCAGTCCACCTTCTGCCTGGCCTCTGGCCAGCGTCCATTCCTTAAAGATACAATGGAAACAAAACAAAGCAAACAGCAGCTGCATGTTCAGAAGCTGCAATAATGACAACTGACTGTCTTACAGAGGCCAGACAGAGTTCCTTTCCACGGGTCATGTTATCTCCAAATGTTTACGGAAAACCTCTCCAGGCAATTACTTAATGCAGTAGAAAGTGTATGGCCAATATGAAATGATTCTGAAATTGATAAGATAGGAATTGTGAAGCCAAATTTGGGGAAACAGGCTCTAGAAGCTCCAAGCACTGAGCTCCCAGTAACACTGAGTTTCTAGCTAACAGCAGATGGCCTGGGGGTGCCGGTGGGGGGCTTCTGATTGAGTCAGCACCCCAGTCACAGCCCAAAGTCCTGGCAGAAAAAAAAAGGGTTCTTTAACAGGGGACCTCCAAGTTTTTTCAAGATCAAGACTTGCTCATAGTCTTAGTTTTCTTGTGAATAGGAATGCATGACTATATTTAAAGTATTGAAATATCTTTAGGTGGTAGGAGAGACCACGGAGTCAATTTAATGTCAAAATACCCAGAGGGAGGAAAATCAGTGTCTGAATTGGAGAAGTCACTTAACTGAAGAAGAAAAGGGGAGTTTCTACCACTCAGGCAGAGTAGAAAATTAAAAGTCAGACACTTAATCAGCTCACATTGGAAGCACTGGAGGTATGGAGTTTTTCAAAGACAAAACCATGAGACATCATACCAGCTACATGTCAGGGGATTCTGTGAGCTGAGTTTGTGAGGTAGAACTTTGGTATCCGGTGATGGTGTGACAGGGTCAGGGGGCCCCATGTCACCACTGGCTGAGAAAACCCCAAGTGTGGTTCTTCTCAGGCAAAAAATTATTTAGGCTTGCATTGAGTTCTGCATCAATCAAGTGGGGAATTGTAGCCTCTGAGGACACCAACACCACCACCCTCCTTGGGCAAGACATCCTTCTTCATCTTGAGTCACATTCCAAATGGGCCTATTCTTGCCCTGTACTTTCTAGGAATTAAGATTTCTTAACAGGCTAGCAAGATTTTACCAATGAAAAGAATGTTGAAAAGATAACATGGGATTATATACAATGGGATTACATACAATGTCTCCACCCTCTGAGGTCCACAATGAGAAGGGTGCCTAATTCTGGGGGTGCCCAGAGCTCTAGGGCAGGTATGCACTGGGTGCAGGGTCTTCCACTTCTGAAATGGTCTTTCAGAAGACTGTCCAAGTAGCTATGCTTTCTTTATCTTCAAAATAGTGTGTTGTTTCTACAAACCCACAAGAAGGCCTTCTCTTACATCTAAATATAAAGACACCACAACGAAATATGTCATTGGGAGTGTCCAATGTCAGAGAGGACTGTTTGGAGTCCAGGGTTACAAGTGGCAAACATGCACAAGTTTCCTCCATCAGGCCAAAAAAAATGAGGGCACTCATCAGGCTCTGTCTGGGATTTGAAGGTACCTACAGACCAGGGGCCCTCCCCATGGTGCAGCAGGACTTCTGTTTCCCAGTTGGAATTGACAACCCTGATTGCTTAGGGGTGTTTAAGGAATAAAAAGCAAAATGGCATTTTGTGGCCAACATAACTGAGAAACGTGCTTTTCCGGCGGAAGGACCCTAGTCCACACGGCCCAGAGTCCCGGTCCCCACTCTGGCGGTGCCCTGACTGTTTGACTGTGCAAGGAAATGAAAGAGCACAGTCTCCCTGTTTAAATGCGCCTACCTGGTTGGAAACAAACATCCCCAGTTCCTCCTGCCCAGGCTGGTCCCTGAAAGGGGCTGCCTGGGCTTGGGGGTGATGCTGGTGTGGCGACCGCGCCCCCCCCCCCAAGTCAATGTCCTCCCTGGGACCAGCTACAATTTGGTGGGAAAAGTGGGCCTGGCTGTCCCCATGGCCCCACTGCCCCACTCCCCCACCTCGGGTCCTATGTCAGCGCATCAGCAGCGCGAAGGGGGGTGCTCACCTCAGTCCGGGGAGCACTTGGGCCACCGATATCCTGGCACCCCTTCCTCCTTCGGAAGCGAGCTGGAATGGGGGACCGGGAGAGTCCTGGGTCTCGGGGTTGTTCCTGGGTCTGGTCGGAAGGGGGCCGGTCCTGCCAGGACTCCTGGTGCCAGTCGCGTGTCCCGGCATCAGCCCCTCTGCCTCTGCCCCCTCAGCCGCCTCACGAACACGTTGAAAGCTGGGGCGGGTCCTGCGCCGGGCGCTCCAGACAGCCCGTCCACCCCGCTCCCGGCGCCCCGCCCACCTCCCTGGTTCCAGTCCCCACCTCCCCACTCCCACACTCCCTTAAGCCCCAGGTCCCCTCTCGGCCCCACCTCGTCGTGTCCAGTGCCCGGCTCCAAGCGCCCTGTGTCCACCTCCCTCTCCTCCAGGTCCCCAGGTTCCCGCCCCCTTCCCTCCTCTGCGCACGCCCTTAGTCCCCAAACCGCACTTCCCGCGCTCTGCGGGTCTCCCTGATCTCGCGCCTCCTCCGGCGCGGGCCCCACACCCGCTTTGATCTGTTCCCGACTCCCAGACTCCTGACACCGAATTCCCGGGCACCACCCTTCTGGCACCCTCCGCCCCCCTCCACCTCAGCAACTCTCTTGAAAGTTCTCTGATTTCCTTGCCGCAGCCTCTTTACCCCTTTGCCTCAGGACACCGGCACCCACACAACATCCCCAAGTGAACGCGAGTGGGGCGCACGATAATTTCCATTGTGCCAGTTCGCCCACCGAGAGGTTAGCGTCAGTGTTTAGGTTTGGACCGTCCGCGTGAGGTGGAGGCTGCCTCCTAGCGCAGACCCATGGGCGTGCTGGCGGCCGAAGATTCTGAGAAACGCCTCAGTTCTGTCTCCACCGGCGTCGGGCGCACGGAGGAGCCCTCCCTTGATGAGTTACTAGCCCACACCACGCACTTCCAAAGGGAGACTCTAGGGAGAAGGCTACCAAATTCCAACTGGAAACAGAAAGTGAATGTCCTAAGGAGAGAACACAGAGCCACCTCCCTGCAAGCTGCTGGCAGCGGGAGAAAGACTGGAGGATGGAAAGAAAAGAAAGGGTCGAAAGCAGAAGAAACCACAGAGGCAGTCATTCAAGGCGAGGCTGTAAATATCTGAGCTTATTGGGTTGGGGTCGGCAGGGGTCCTCTGAGGTAGGCAGGGATCTTGGGAAAGGGTCTTCCTGTTACTTTTCCTTGGTTCCCCCTCTCCTGTCAGAGCCACCCGGACCCCTGTACCCTTTCCCTGAGCTGGAAGAAAGGCTTGTGGCACTGGAGCCCTGGGCACCTGGCATACTAAGGGATAGGGTGCAGGCTTGGGACAGCGACTTGCTAGGGGTCTTACTGCTCTTCCAAGTGGAGCAGCATGGGGGAGGGGGCCACAGAGCTGGGCCCCACCCTTAGGGAGCAGGGTGCAGTCCAGTTCTCCTCTGGGTCTGCCTGGTCTCCTGAGACCTCTGTAAGCATCTCAACCATCACACTGGTCCCGCTGCCAGAAGCCAGTTCTGACCACATTGCAATGGGACCAACTGTGCCTCCATTTTCCCACTCCGGCAGCATCCAGTCACAGAAAGGAGAGAAGAGAGTCTGCTCCTTTGGCCACTGGCCATAGGAGTGTGCAACCTCAGCCTTCTGTTATGGACCTGAGAAACACAGAGAAGTACTGTGGCTCTTTACTGCAGGTGTCCCGAGGGAGAAGGGGCAGGAGCAGGAGGGTTGTTGGGCAACACACTCCTGAAACTCCTTTTTGGGATAAGACTCCTTTTCCCCAAAGTTCCCCAGCCATGAGCAGCTCTCCCACACAGTCCTCTCACTGGCCCTGTGTCCCACTCCCCAACTGGCTCCCCTTCCTTTGGCCTTAAAGTTCAAACACTGGACTCTAAGGACCCTCCCTCTCTGCCCCCACAATATTCCTGGAGCCTTCCCTGAGTGGGCTGAATAAAATCCTCCTCCGCCTTCTGTGGCCTTGGTCCACAGGAAAGCTCTTACAGGACAGCCCAAGTTCCTAAGCGTGGAAAGGTGGGCATTAGGGATTAGGAAATGACCACTGTGCAACTCTCCATGAAATCTGGCAAGCCTGAGCAGTTCAGTGCGCATGGAAGGGAGGGTGTCGAGAACTGGTTAATTACTGTGCTAACAGGGGAAGGAAATATCCTCCATTTTCAATGGAGGAGTCTGGCTGTCCCCACCTTCCAAGGGATCAAAACTAGCAACACTAGTACTGTATCAACCTGACATGACAGTAGAACAAGGCAAGCACCACCACTGATTCTGTGCTGCAGACCTTCTGGGCATTCTGTAACCCACAGTCCATTGGCTTACTGTCCTCCTAAAAGCTCATGTCAGGAAGGACGAGGAAGCTTCTGCTATCAGAGAAAAGAAGTGGCATTCTTGACGGGCATGGCCCCTGCGCCATCCCTTTTTCAACTACACAGCATGAAAAATTTGGGAGGCTATTTCAGTGTGGACAGAGTTGAGGGATATTATAGAATTACCGTTAACGCTATCTGGTGTGGGGATGGCACAGCACTTATCTAGGAGGTTGACCCTATTTTTAAGAGAAGGCTGCTGAAGTATTTAAAGGTGAAACGTCTTGATGTCTGCAACTTATCTTTAAGTGGTCCAGCATAAACAATATGTTCACATAACGCTGCTCTGGCAAAATGTTAGCAATTATTAGGTCTAGGTGGTGAAGGGGGGAGAAGTGAGTTATATAATTGCTACTTTCTTTCTGTTTGAAATCTGTTCACAATGAAAAGTTGGAGAAAAAGAAAACTCAGCTTCTCACTCATTTAAATATGTCTTTACCTCTGTGCTCACACTATCAAATCCAGGCCTATGGGAAGAAATGAAAAGATACTATGACCGCCATCTGCATTTTTGGAATCCTCATAGACCCAAGCTTGAGTATCATTTGAACAAATATATAACATGCTGTAATCTATATATAATAGTATATTGTTGATACATACTCATTTTAATGTGAAAAAGGGAAATGCACTCCTTTTGTCACATATTAGTGCCTGCAACCTGGCGGCAGAAGCAATGTGGTGAGAGGATATCCCACTCCAAGACCCTCCCCTTTCCTAGCAGAGCAGAGATGTTGCAGGTGTGGGTTGCAGAGGTGAAGCCCTCCGAGACTCAGGAGCTGGAAGGTCAGAGCTTTGTGCCTACAAAAGTGTGTGGCTCACTTCTCCATCTCTCTCCAACTTGTGCTTCCTGGACCTCTGGGCGCAGTCCCAGCCCCCCGCTGGGGGTTGCTCTATCCCAGCCCCCACGTGGGTGTTGCTGTACTCCACCATGTGCTGAACATGTGTGGTCCCCATCACAGCTGGCGTCAGACAGTCCCCACTTGGGTAAGCATGCACAGCGCCCTTTTGGGTCCTCAGAGAATGTGCCTCAAGTGTGCGCTCACGTATGGGGGTGGGCGGCTGGTGGGTGGACCCCAAGGAAGAGTCCCTGGTGGAATGGCACCTTGGGCAGCCCGGGGCAGTGTAGGCGACTCTGGTCTGAGTTCCTCAGCAGAACACCACAACGGAAGTCGATTCACAGCCTTAGAGAGAAAGAGCTCCCAGCACTCCTCTGGACATCGACTCACAAAAAGTAACCTGGGCTATTACACAAATGAAGCCTTGGCTTGCTGCCAGAACTCCTTCAAAATAAGCATTCATTGGTTGACAGGGACACCCAACAAAAGGGAGCCCCCCTTTGTGACTTTCACAGTTGTGAGGTGCTTTGTCCCCAGCTGACGCCTTTTCTCACAGTTCCTCCCCATTTCACATTTCGTGAGGCTGCTCCTAAATTCAGACACAGAGCTAGCGTGTATAGGTGTGTGCTCGTGTGAGTGACTACATCTCTGTGTTTATGTGTGTGTTCATGCACACATGCACACACATCACAGATATAAGGTGTGGGCGTGTAAGTACATGTGTGGGGTATAACTATGCATATACACATGTGTGTGAGTGTATGTGTGTGCCCGGGAGAAGGGTCACGGTCCTAGGAGTGGTAGGACGTGTCCAGTCCTCCAAGGGAGATAAACACATGTCTGTGGTATTGTAAGAAATAAATATTGGTCTTTGTTCCCAATTCTTGGCGTGGAGCTCCTAAAATCCTTGACTTTGCTGTCTTTTGCTTGCTAACAAGATAACTGGTGGTTGGGGACTTAAATACTTCAGGATGGGGGCTGGCTGCCAAGAACTAACCATGTGATTAAAGAGCTGAAACCCCCAACCTGGAGTTGGAGCTTACAGTCTGTCCCCAACCTGGAGGATGTGGAGAGGGTCTCAGGTGAAATTAATCACCAATAGCCGATGACTTAACCTACTATGTCTACTTGATGAAACCAACCCACACAGACACACACACACACACACACAAATCCTAAAGATTGGGATTGGGAAGCTTCCCAGTTAGTGAACACATCTATGTGCTAAAGGATGACACGCCCAGACAGTCTGGGGGTGCTGTGGCTCCTTTCTCCCTAACCTTGCCTCATTCATCTCTTCAATCTGGCTGTTTCAAGTTTTTATTCCCTATAATAAGCTGATAAACATACTAAAGTGTTTACCTGAGTGCTGCGAATGTCCTAGCAATTCGCCAAACGTGAGGAGGGTGTGAATATTTGTGTCAGGCAGGGCTGAAGATTCAGTGGAGCAGACAGGAAGATTCACATCCGCTTGGGCAGGTAGCAAGAGTCTGGTGTGTTGTCTGTGCATGCATGCATGCTTCCCACAGAAATCAGCATTCTGAAAGCAAGCGGAGAAAGGGCAGGCGGAAGACACAGGGCTGGGTGGAGGTACTGGTGTCCTCTCCATTCTTTTGAGAGGACAGCTGTCAAAAGGCTAGCAAAGATGGCCGCTCTCATCCCATAAGCCAGTTAGCTCAGTCTGCAGCAGACCTGATGTTCTTAGTCCAATTAGTCCCCAAAATTTCCTTGGTGAATGGTTCTGCTGGTAAATACTCTACCTGGGAGCTGGTTTGCTGGAGTCTTGCTCTTCAGTCACAGAGGATGGCTAACATACATCATCTGTGGGTTGTTGGGCAAACGTAGCTCCTTGTGCTCTCGCCAGCATTCACAAGAACATGGTAGGCTGTGGCTGCCTGTGCCTTGCTTAGACAGCTTGTGTTATTCCTGTCCCTGCCCCTGGCTTTATGAATAAGTGTCTGCAGCATTGTTGAATAAGTTTGTTTCTTCTTAGCTACCTAAGGGTTTAATTGGTGGCGGGTAGGCAGAGAGCAGCAGTGGA